CAGTCATGAGCAAGCAAAAATGCTTTTTTTTTTTAATTTTCCTAGCATTGAGTATTCTTTGCAAAGTGAAGCCATGGGCAAGATGTGCCATAATTGTAAAGAGAACTTGGGGTAAGCAGAGACGTTTTGTGACTTGCACGGGCCCTACAAGTGTCCTTTCATTCATAGCTGCTTCGCTGCTCTATTGTTCCATGTGGCTAAAGGATTGTCAGCCTGTGTATGCGCTTGTATTTTCATAATGGTCACTTCATCTGGGAGCTCTAGGGCTGACATCCTCCATTTGACTAGCTTAGCAGCATTTAAACCCAAAAGCAAACATTTATTATATTGCAGCTTACCAATTCTTAGATGTTAAGGCTGCATTAGTTTTCCTTTTTAAGCTTTCATTCTATTGTCATCTGGTGTTTCAATCACTACATCTGTTGTTTTTCATAGGAACAAGCTTTCTTGAAGATTGTATCAGTTACAGAGATGAGACAAACCATTTAACTCTGGCAGGTGTGCCTCCAATGATCAGCTTTTATTTTTTTTTTATGTAAAACTTTCATCTCAAAAATAAAAAATGTTGTAACCTACGTATAAAGTGCTAACTGGAGTTTGGCTTCAATTAGTTGGTATATCTAAATCTGCTAGTCCATAAAAAAACTCCACCTTACCCCTTAATGCTGCTGTTTGTTTGTGCCCCCTGTGTCATTCATCCAGAGTGGGGGCAGTCTAATACAGGAAGTGTTTTACTGGTCAAATCACCTGGTGAAAACCGAGGGGGAAAAAGCTTAAAAAAAGGAAAATTACTAGGAAAATTATCAAACTACAACATATTACATATTTGATTTGGGGTTTAATACCACTTTAAATGATATGCCTGCTGAGATAAGCAGGATTTCTAAATCAGGTCAAAATCATGAGATATCCCAAAGGCATAACAGCTGCCTTTGTGGACATTAACTCTCTGTCCTTTTGCTAATTTCCAGTCTATTGCAAGGGCATATAACTCGGTCTGAGGCAGAGGGAGCTAAAAGACTAGCTTATTTTGCAGAATTTTGAGTAACAACTGCGCACCCAGTATGGGGCTTCCATTTTCATAATAGGATCTGGAACTTTCTACAAAAAATGTCAAATCTAGGTTTTCCAGAGGCTGATCCAAAATTGGACTGGCCTGAGATTTCATCAGCAACATTGCTGGATTGAATGTGGTACACCTTTGTAGGTGAGAGCAATACTACATAATGTTTCATCTGACACACATTTAGTCTGGTAGAGACAATGCGGGACCAGATGCCACTGCCTTGATCAATGTATCCTTTTCCTTTAGCTCTGGTTCAATTTTAAATGGATGTTGGACTGCAAGTGCATATAGCTGATCAGCTGTGAACCATTTGGAATCCATTCCCCACAGTAGCCCAAAAGGCCTAAAAAAGTCATGGGTTGACTTACATTTTTTGGCACATGGTAATTCTTTAAAGCGTCTATCTTTTTCTTCTGTTCCCTGAGGAATATAATATCCTAAAAAACCTGGTTTAACAAAACTGCAATGTTCTTTACGTGCCTTGTTATTGGTTGTCACTATAGATGGTACAACAGGCTCTTGGTTTCTTCTCGGTAAGTTTCTCAATCATTATCAAAGCATTGACATACTGTCATAGTACTATATAGTCCTGCAGATGTTCTTATTGGTCCAATAACTTTCTCAGGCCCTTTAGGTCTGGTGTGAAGTTTAAGAGGGACCCCATGTAAAATGGAAAAAAGCATGAGTTCCCCCAAATTTCATATCTGGTATGAATTTTTAGGGGGAATCCCACACAAAAATCAGGAAAAAAGTGTGAGGACCGCCCTAAAAATCAATACCAGACCCTTATCCAAGCATGCAGCCTGGCTGAATCACTCAAGACTACATGCACTCAACATGGAAGGGGGGGGGGTACCTTTCCCAGGGGGCAAATAGCACCTTATAAATAAAAACAAATTGAATGAGCGCAACTAAATTAATAAAGTAAAAAAGTAAGGATAATACTAAATTGGCAAGCCGCTAGCATAAAAGGTATTCCTCAGCACCTCAGTAACAGATCCAAAACATAGAATATGCAGCGCTAAATGTTATGTGAAACTATGATAAGTTGGGTAATAAATGAAAATGATATAGTCCCAAATGAAAAGTCCTCAAAGACAGAAGTAATATATATCAAAAGTGCTCCATGCAGTGATCAGAAAAGTCCACGAGGTGGGTAAACTGGTCAAGTGAAGAAATAAAAAATCCTTGTAGTAATGGTTATATAATGCGCTTACCAGAACTACATACAAAATACGCATTGTATGTATATACTCTGTAAAGGACATCAGGGTCTGGTCACTGGTATGCTGTCATCAGAGCGCCCTAGCAGACTCCCAGAGATGCTGACAAGACACACTCCCGGTCCGCCCTCAGGACTCACCAATGGGTCACCAATGGGTCCACCGTCGCTCAGACTCCAGATGCCGATCCACCTTAAGGAGGCTCGTGCAATAACAAGCCAGGGAGGCAAGATAGTGCTGATAGTGTAATATAGCCTTTATTGAGTAAAATCCAAAAGTATTCAAAAGGGACACTCACTCAAAGTATGGTATCCTGTAGTCAATCCTTATGCATCAAACAAGTAAATTCAGCAAGGTCAGCGTCACATTGAGGGATCCCCCTGACATGTTTCGTGTAAAACACACGTTTTCAAAGGGGTGAATCCACTCAATGGGATGCCAAGTAATAAAGAAACAGCGGCGCCTGCGCAGTACACGCCTCGCGCCGCCGTTCGCGATCGCGCATGCGCGAATGACGTCACACACCGCGATCGCGCATGCGCGCCTTATTGCCATGTTGATGAGGACACGGGCCTCTTCCCCACAACCCTAGCCTGGTGTTTGTGTAGGGGCTGAGGGCATGGGGCTTATTGGAATCTGGATTCTTTTACTCTAGTTTCTATGCTCAGACAGGCAGCTGTAGTGCTTGACCTGTCCAGGTAGTTGGAAAGCACGGGGAGCTATCTCACCACTATTTTACATTTTTTCTACTAACACAGATTTCAACACTGAAAAAAAACCTGAACATATAGTCAATCCATCAAGTCTTTGAGGGATCTGGAAACCCTTTTTATCTTGAAAGTAAAAAGCACAAACAAGAGGTCAAGCAATCGTATTATTAAACAAAAAAAAATGTTTACTTAACAGCTTAGAATGGCAAAATTCCTCCAGCATCTTCTAGTTGTTTTCTGGATTCAGGGGTTTACTGTACCTCCCAGGTTCCATTTCCGACCATTGAACGTCATGGAAATTTAAGGTTCAGCAAATGAGAGTTGATCAGTTGTTCCCATTGGTCAGTAGATTAGCTACTGCAGCAGCAGAGAGTACAGACAGATACCCAGGTACTTGGAGTGACATACAAACTGTTGTAGTTTATTAGGCAAGAAGGCAGGAGTTATTTAAAAATTGTCTGTACGCCCAACTGTGGTGGTCAGTGGTTGACCTTAACCAGTTGCCAACAGCCCCATAGCAGATATACTGCTAAAGGGCAGCCTTGCTGTGCAAAATCACATAAATATACATGATTTTGCATTTCTGGTTAGGAGGTACGTGTGCTGCGACTGGCTCCTGAGGATGTAATCATTGGGTCCAGTCCGGTGATTCCCGGCCAGGACTCGATGATCGGTGATAAAGCTGAGAGGGGAAAGGCCTGTGTGTAAACAACACAGATCTCTCTCCTGTCAGGATGGACATGCTGCTTTCTATCTCTCTGTATAGCAGAGACATAGAAAGCAGCAGGTCTGTTTAGAAAAAAAGCAGCACAATAAAAACACTCCCTAATACACAGTTAACCTTTGTTCACCCCAGATGTTAACCCCTTCCCGCTCAGTGTCATTATTAAAGTGTCATTGCTTTTTATTAGCACTGATCACTGTATTAGTGTCACTGGAGATCTCAGTGGCAGTTTGCCAGTTCCCACCCAGTGTCAGAATGCCCGACGCAGTCCCACAGTCCTGCTATAAGTCTTTGATCATCACCAATACTAGTATAAAAAAAACAAATAAATACAAATTCCTTTAGATATACCCCCATTTGTAGACGCTATAACTCTCACGTAAACCAATTAATATACACGTGTTGGGATTTTTGTTATCAAAGACGTGGCAGAATACATTTTGGTAAAAATTTATGAAGACATTTTTTTTTATTGGATATGTTTTATACCAAAAAGTCAAAAATATATATATTTTTTTTCAAATTGTCAGATTTTTTTGTTTATAGTGTACAAAATAAAAAATGCAGAGGTGAGCAAATACCATCAAAAGAAAGCTCTATTGATGTGGGAAACAGAATTACCGTATTTTTCGCTCCATAAGACGCACTTTTTTCCCCCCAAAAAAGGGGGGAAAATGTCAGTGCGTCTTATGGAGCGAATGTAAAGCGGCCGATCCGGTATTTCTGCCGCTATCATGTCAGAATACCGGGCCGGCCGCTCAGCTCTTCTCTCCTGCAGGCCCTTACCTGTTCCTCGCTCCAGCGCTGCAGTCTTCCCGCGGCGGCTTCTGTGACAGCCGGGTGCCCACTGCGCATGCGCGAGAAGCACCGCGCTTTGTGAATGGTCCGATGTCTTCTGGGACACATGACAGGTCCCAGAAGGCTCCGGGCCATTCACCATGTGCAGCGCTTCTTGCGCATGCGCAGTGGGCACCCGGCTGTCACAGAAGCCGCTGCGGGAAGAAGAAGGAAGGAGAACTCCGAAGAAGTGGGAGCGGGTATCTGTCAAATTCAGGTACCCGCTCCCCCTCCCTCCCCAAAGGTCCGCAGTCTCTGGTAATCGACTTTACTGTCTGCAGTCTCTGGTCATCCCCTGCACTGTCTGCAGTCTCTGGTCATCCCCCGCACTGTCTGCAGTCTCTGGTCATCCACTGCACTGTCTGCAGTCTCTGGTCTTCTGTACTATGTCCACAGTCTCTGGTCAATCCCTGTACTGTGTCTGCAGTCTCTGGTCATCCCCTGTACTGTGTCCACAGTCTCTGGTCATCCCCTGTACTGTGTCCGCAGTCTCTGGTCATCTCCTGTACTATGTCCACAGTCTCTGGTCATTTCCCTGTACTGTGTCCGCAGTCTCTGGTCATCTCCTGTACTGTGTCCGCAGTCTCTGGTCATCCCCTGTACTGTGTCCGCAGTCTCTGGTAATCTCTTGTACTATGTCCGCAGTCTCTGGTCATCTCCTGTACTGTGTCCGCAGTCTCTGGTCATCTCCTGTACTGTGTCCGCAGTCTCTGGTCATCCCCTGTACTGTGTCCACAGTCTCTGTTCATCTCCTGTACTGTGTCCGCAGTCTCTGGTCATCTCCTGTACTATATCCGCAGTCTCTGGTCATCCCCTGTACTGTGTCCGCAGTCTCTTGTCATCTCCTGTACTGTGTCCGCAGTCTCTGGTCATCTCCTGTACTATGTCCGCAGTCTCTGTTCATCTCCTGTACTGTGTCTGCAGTCTCTGTTCATCTCCTGTACTGTGTCCGCAGTCTCTGGCCATCTCCTATACTGTGTCCGCAGTCTCTGGTCATCTCCAGTACTGTGTCCGCAGTCTCTGGTCATCTCCTGTACTGTGTCCGCAGTCTCTGGTCATCTCCTGTACTATGTCCGCAGTCTCTGGCCATCTCCTATACTGTGTTCGCAGTCTCCGGTCATCTCCTGTACTATGTCCGCAGTCTCTGGTCATCCCCTGTACTGTGTCTGCAGTCCATTGGTTCAGAATATTTTTTTTCTTGTTTTCCTCCTCTAAAACCTAGGTGCATCTTATGGTCAGGTGCGTCTTATGGAGCGAAAAATATGGTACATATATTTCATTTATGTACAGCGTTTCATGACCGCAAAATTGTCAAAGTAGCGCAGCACAGTATCGCAAAAAATAGCCTGGCCAGGAAGGGGGGTAAATCTTCTGGAGGGAAAGTGGTGACAAACTCTAAACAGCAACCAGCCTAATTGTAGAAAAGTGTCTTAAGTCACAAATTCTAATAAGTTTCAGGTAGAAGTTACCTTGTAACTTTAATGGAGTATATGAAGACAAAGAGATAAATGTATTTCTCAAATGTAGACATGAAATAGGTTTGAGTGTGTAGACATATTAATGTTATGTTTTGTATGGCATGTACCTTTACTGGTATATTTTACTTTTATTCTGTTTACTTAGAAGTTTATGTTGAGCATTACTATAAGGATCAATTTAACAGTCTTTGCTGTATTTATAGAGAGAATGCTAAGAAAGAAATGTGTAAAATAACCATTGAGTGGTGTAGTTTTTAGATGTTTTACAGACTAAAAACCTATGAAGAATTCACTCTGGAAGGTTGTACTGCAAGGTTCCTAAAACAATATTGAAGAGGGCACTTTAAAACAAAGATAATCTGCTTTGAACTTTTCTTTTGTTTGCAATGTGACAGTTAAAAATGATTCACTGTTTCTCATACAAATAATAGCTGCCGGTAGATCTGATATTATTAATGTCTTCTCTTGTCATTGGGCATACACAGACATTTTGTACATAAACATTGCAATGTGTTGTTCCATGTGTCACAAGCAATAAACCCCAGACCTTTGCAGATGTAGTGATATGCTGACAAAGACTCAGACAAACTGCTTAGTATTGTATGCCGGGTGAATATAAATCAGTTTTCTCCTTCTACTGAGGTGTCAACTTGCAATACGTGCAATAAATATAAGTCCCATTTTCATATTACTTTGATCAAATTGGTTTAAATGTAAGTTCAGTACTTGTTAGTAGCACTGAAAAAGAAAACTCCAAGAAAATATCAGTGCTTTGATCATTTTTTATTACCCTTACCTTTGTGTAGCAGTGCATTACGCCCAGTGGCGGACTGACAACTCATGGGGCCCCCGGGCAATAGGGGATCATGGGGCCCTTGTGTCCTTGCTCAAACTCAAAAAAGCCTATGAAAAAGGTACCAGGGGCATCTCATGGGGCCCCCTACTGACCCCAGGCCCTCGGGCAGCGCCCGAGTTTCCAAATGGTCAGTCCGCCCCTGATTATGCCCCTGTTGGTGCAAAAAGGTGCAATGGATAAAGGAGGAAGTAAAGGGAAAAATAAAAAAAAGCTGGAATTCTCTTACTAGAGACCTGACCAGTCTCTCTACCGGACAAGGGGAAATACAATGAGATTCACAAATAAGCAGAAAGCAGGCTACTTTTTTTTTTTTTTTTACTTTATTCTTATTTATCTTGAAGTACAGACAATACAGTGGATGATAGGATATGACTATGTAATATTGACCATCTGGATGTTTACACTATATGTATTTCAGCATTGTAGACAATGGTGTTGGAATTATGTAATATAGGCAATAAAGTTGTTGGAACATGCACAAGTAGACACTAAGGGGTGGATTTACTAAATGCAAATAGACTGTGCTCTTTTCAGGTGCAGTTAGTGGTGTATTTAGGTTTTTTGCTGCCCTAGGCAACACAAAACTCATCTGCCCCGAAGGACACCGATCAACACCCCTGCCCCCTCATGGGAGAGCCTTCCACTATCCCCCCCCCCCCCAGCGATAGAGAAAGACTCCCATTTTCACAGCTCCAGACATCCCTGAGAACGAGAGCCAAGTTCTACATACACCATCAAGCAGCCCGCAGCCTCTCTCAGATCCCCACCTGGTTCCCATGGTGTGCATGTCCCTTCTTTCATCCCTTCTTCTGGGGGGATGTGCTGCCCCCCTGAAAAATGCCGCCCTAGGCAAGTGCCTTGTTTGCCTTGTGGTAAATACACCCCTGGATGCAGTTGCACTTATTTTCCCCAGAGCTTAGTAAATGTGGTAAAGTTTCACTTTGTAAAGAATACACAATCAGATACAAAAAAAAAAAACAGCATTTTTGCTTGCACGTGATTGGATGATGGAAGTCAGCAGATCTTTACCACATATGCCAGAGCTCTGGAGAAAATCAGTGCAACTGCATTTGCAGAGTGCACAGTCTATTATCCTTTAATAAATCCATGCCTAAGAGTATATATTCTAAGAAAGAGCATTAATGGAGTACATGGGTGTATGTGCTGTATATCACTAGAGAGGTCTCTGATATTTTTACCATTAAAGTATTACTAAACCCAGGACCCTGCATTCACTATATCTGGTCTCCCACAGGACACAGAACATGGAAATGCATTTATTTTAGTGAATATAAACTGCTACATACCTTTTCTCATCAGCAGTTGAAGCAGTATTGTGACTTCTATCAGTGTCCAGCAGAACACTAGTTAAAGCTTGTAGGAAGAGTTTTCATTTTGCTCTAGGAGGATGCAGGACCCCTGACCTCTGTCTGGACTGTGATGATTGGCCCTGTGCTGATCCCATGCACTCTCCCAAGAAGAAAAAAACTCTGTCTAGCAATATACACCAACCTGAGCATGTGCAAAGTGACTCCAAACCTTTGTTCTAGCAAGAGATATTTAGGGGACAATGGAAGAAGAGGAAGATCAGAAAAGAGAGGATCAAACATATTTTTTAAACAATGTGGAGGATTAACCACTTAGGTTCCACAGTGAGTATACCAAGCATGCTTTACTGCATATACAGACTGATTTCACTGTTGTGGGTTTAATAACACTTTAATATCCTCAGTATGGAGAACCTAATAATTAAAAAGACTGAGATGGTAGCAGAAAGTTTATAATGGGGGGAAACCTGTCTCTCTTTCTTTGGCACACCAAATCTTCCCAATTTGGCTAATAAATTGATATAAAGTGCTAGTGGCAGTGAACAGCAAAAGTTATTGCTGGAAAGAGGATTGAAAGGGTGTCATCAGTAATTGCCATGTTTTGGTATATTATTATTAATATTATTATTATTATTATACAGGACTTATATAGCGCCGACAGTTTGCTCAGCGCTTTACATTATGGATTGTGGTGGTTTATGTAAGGATATATTTTACTTATAAAGGGCGTGTCCCTTTCCCTTAGATGAAATATTACAGTGCCTCCAGCCGTTCAAATACGGCAAATATTTAGTAAACCAATAATTTGGACACCTTGATAATTCGATCACCACTTATTATTATACCTTGAATTCTTTTAGCCAATATGATTTCGTACCATACACACAAAATTTGCCTTATAATAGATAAATATAAAAATTTATTTATGTACAAAAATTATATATATATTAACACAAAACGCAAAAGACTGGTGATAAATGAATATTGGTACACACAATCAAAAATATACCCTACCAATGTAATACATAATAATAAGATTTCTAACTAATTACATCAATATCACAATTTTTAAATGATCTGATTATTAATTAAATTTATTAATAATTAATAATTTCGAGTATCTCAAAGGTGATATTCTCACAAGCCGTGGCCATAGGATTGCAAGAAGCTAGCCCTTGATATATTATACTCTGATTATTAATATTCAATAAATTATGAAATATAAAAAAAATTTATAATATGGCACCAAACAATTTTTAACAGTAAAAACAGGATCTCTCTACATATATCTCGAACTACCCAATATTGTTGTGATACACTAAGGTAATTCTATGATTCCACACAACGGAGAAAATAGGTAATACAAAATCAAATAAACAATCTCACCGCACCCGGCATTCAGACTAGGCAACTCTCCCGTGGATTTAGCTGGCAGTGGAACGCCTTTAGACTGATGACCACAGGGGAAATTGAGATAGAGTTCAATAGTGTGGGAGAATGTAGGAAGTTATAAGGATAGAGGTTTAGAAATTTAGTAAAGTTTTAGGAAGTTTGAAAGTATGGAAGAGTAGTTATTCAGCAGAGATCTCTTCAGATGTCAGGGTCTTCTTTTGATGAGGTCTTTTCTTTTGATGAGTTTTTCTTTTGATGAGTTTTTTCTTCTTAAAGGTACAAGGGCTTTTATACCAACTAATCCATTGTTCTAAGATACCTTCCCACCAGGCTTCTTGATTGGCTAGTTGAGAAATGTGTGTACATAAGCTATTTCTCACCTGCCCGCCAGGTGGCGGTCATGTATCATAGAACAATTTGAGTATTTGAGATGACTCATACCTCGGGTGGAATCTTAAGGTAATTTCAGGGATCAAATATACGTCTTTTTCCAGATATAAGTGATCATACCTATAATATTCTAAATAGGGACCATGGAATATAGGTGTATATTCAGTTATTCCTTCTTGAAATACCATCCTGTTTGTTTCCTGATAAGACATGTAACTAATGCTAGTTTATAATACATCTTACTTTCCATCATCTCAATACTCAAGTTAGTGATATATAGTTCCCATTGCTGAATATTTGGTGGTGTGTAAAACCTATCCTTTATAACATCTCATTTATAATATGTTTTTGTAGTATATCTTTGTAGTTATATACAGTCAATTTTTAGACTTAAATGTCCTGAATTTAACTTCTTTGTTTTAGAACCAACATTTTCTATGTGTAGGGAAAAACTCTCTGTTTGCCTGGCTCTTGTATTGGAGTCACGGTAAACAAC